GCTAGCCCTGGGGGTGCTGAGCCTGGAGGTGCTTTGCCTGGGGGTGCTGGACCTGGGGGTGCTGCGCCTAGAGGTTCTCCGGGTGCTTCATGTCGCCGGGAGCCACTCTCTCCACAGGAGCTGCGCGAGTGGTTTGCCCGCCGCTGGAGCCGTGCTGCTGGTGCTCGAGGTTCGTCGGCTACTGAGGGTGCTGCTGTCGCGGGTCCCGGAGGTGCTCGTCCTGGGAGTACTGGAGCTGCTGGGCCTGCAGGTTCGACTGGAGCTGGTGCTGCTGAGAGTGTTGGCGCTGAGACTACCACTGGCGGTCCTGCTGGAGGTGCTGCTGGAGCGGGTAAACCTGCTGGGGGTCCTGGTGCTATCCTTGCTGTTTCTGGCGTCGCCACGCGGCCTCGACCGTACTTCGTTCCACTCCTTTAGCAGGTTCTTGGTCTTACACCTTCTACTGGTCCTCCTCCTCCTCCCTCAGAGGGTCCACAGCCTGCCGAGTCACAGTCACAGCTACAGCCTGCCTCCCCTTTGCCTGCTCCTTCTTCCTACGCTGGTCCTACTGGAGGTCTTACTGAGCTTCGTGAGCCTGCGTCTCGTCCTGCGTCGCCTGTTCGTGCTACGCGCGCTAGTGGTCGCGGTTCGCGTCAGCGTCCTCCTCCTGTCCCTGGCACGCACCGGATGTCTCTGCGTCCGTCCACTGCTCCTCTGCGTGCCCCTTTGCCTTCTCCTCCTGCGTCCTCTCTTCCTGCTCTTGCTGACCCGGAGTCGGACTCTCTTCGTGCTGCCAGTCCTACGGTCACGCGTCTTCTTGCTACTGCCGTCACTGACCCTTCTTTCGAGTCTACTGCTGCGTCTGCCCTTGTTACTGAGCTCGTCGACTTTGCTGCTCGCTGTCGCCTAGACTACGCTGCTAGTCTCGTCGCTGAGTCTGAGTCTGTCTGTCCTCCGTCCGTCGGGGGTGAGTGTGCCCTTGGCACGGACGTCCTTGAGGATAGGTAGGAGGAGTTCCAGTGTCTGGCCGCTGCTTCACCTCATCTCGTGTCCGTACTGCTTACCCCTGAGGGAGACCCGGATGCACTTGACATCCCGACTCCGCGCTCTTACGCGGAGGCGATAGAGGGTCCCTACTCCTCTCAGTGGCAGGCAGCTATGGATGCAGAGATGGCTTCCTGGAAGTCCACAGGCACCTACGTTGACGCTGTCCTGAACATCGTCAGTGGCATGTGGATCTTCAGGGTGAAGCGGCCGCCGGGTTCTCCGCCTGTCTTCAAGGCGCGTTACGTGGCTCGTGGCTTCAGTCAGCGGCAGGGAGTTGACTACTTTCAGACCTTCTCCCCTACCCCGAAGATGACCACTCTTCGGGTACTGCTGCACGTTGCTGCTCACCGTGACTACGAGCTGCACTCTCTCGACTTCAGCATTCCTTTCTTGCAGGGCATCCTGCACGGGGAGATCTGGCTCCGCCGCCCACCTGGCTTCACTAGGTCTTTCCCTCCTGGTACCCAGTGGAGTCTCCGACGTCCAGTCTATGGTCTCCGCCAGGCGCCACGTGAGTGGCACGACACAGTGAGGACTACGCTGGCGGCACTTGGGTTTGCTCCTTCTACTGCCGACCCGTCGCTGTTTCTGCGCACCGACACCTCTCTGCCGCCGTTCTACATCCTCGTGTACGTCGACGACTTGGTCTTTGCCACAGCTGACACTGCTGGACTCGCCTACGTGAAGTCCGAGCTGCAGAAGAGACACACGTGCACTGACCTGGGTGAACTGCGCAGCTACCTTGGCTTGCAGATCACCCGGGACAGAGCACGCCGCACCATTACCCTGACTCAGTCACACATGGTGCAGCAGGTCCTTCAGCGCTTCGGCTTCACGTACTCCTCGCCTCAGGCCACTCCTCTGCCTACTCGCCACTCGCTCTCAGCTCTGCCTTCGGATGAGTCCGTAGAGTCGAGTGGCCTGTATGCAGAGCTTGTTGGCTGCCTCATGTACCTGATGACCTGCACACGACCTGACCTTGCATACCCTCTTAGTATTCTCGCACGCTATGTTGCTCCTGGGAGACACCGACCAGAGCACATGGCTGCAGCGAAGAGGGTGTTGCGCTACTTGTGCAGTACGTCGGGCATGGGGCTAGTGCTTGGAGGGCGGAGTCCAGTGGTCCTCACTGGGCACGCGGACGCCTCTTGGGCTGACGACCAGGCTAGGCAGCGGTCGTCACAGGGTTACACTTTCAGTCTTGGTTCCGGCTCTGTTTCGTGGCGGGCTAGCCGCTCGTCTTCTGTTCTCGGCTCCAGTTGTGAGGCTGAGATCTACGCCGGGGCTATGGCTGCCCAGGAGCTTCGTTGACTCACCTACCTGCTGACTGACCTTGGAGAGCCGCCTCGTTCTCCTCCAGTCCTGTACGTAGACAACAAGGCCATGCTGGCCTTGTGTCGAGAGCAGCGACTGGAGCACAGAACAAAGGACCTTGCTCTCCGCTACTTTCTTGCTCGTGAGCTACAGCAGCGTGGACAGTTGCGGCTTGCGTACGTGGCCTCTGAGGCCAACATTGCTGATGTCTTCACCAAGGCAATTGCGCCTTGTGATCATCCGCGCTTCTGCACTCAGCTGGGTCTTGTGCCTGTCTTGCCTCACTTGCTCACTTCTTGACCTTGCTTGTACTGTCACATATATATACTCTTGCTCTTGCTTGCTTAGCCTCTTGTATATATATATATATGTGATCTTGCATGTGAACTGGCCTTCTGGCCTTTGAATTTGTGCTCGGAATGTGTGGTGACTTTGTGATCCACCCTGAGCTTTGCTTTGCTTTGCTTGATTGGTCTTGTGACCCCTTGTTCTCCCCCACTTTGCCTATGGGGGTGTGTTAGAACATTATAGCTTGTATATTTGTGTAGGCTATAGTGGGGTATCCCATAGGGGGTACAACCCAATCAGAGTTTCCTATATGTACTTACTTCATTCATAGTTCATTCATTCTCGTTCTAGTTTCTCTCACACCCGAGTCGCACTGTATCGAATCGCAACAGCAAAATAGTTTAATTATATCTATTCGTATTCCTTGTACTCTTATATAAAGCCTTGTATTTGCTTGTTTTAATCAACTCACTTTGCCCTCACATACTAGCGCAAGGTGGTTCAAGGACTTTTCATTCAAACGCTTCCGCTATTACAATCCTACTCAGACTTTAACTCTACAAAGATCCTAGGGCATCTCAGCCCAACAAGTATGACAGCTCGAGCCTTCCCTTCTCGATCTCGTGTCAGATTTATATGACATAGCTACTGTAGGCTATAGTGGGGTAGCACATATGGGGTACAACTTTCTAGGGTTTGTACTTGTACCCAAATTTCCCTTAGTCATTTCATTCTCGTTCATTTTCTCATGGTATCAGAGCAGGTTCCCCTGTGGGAACTGTTCCTAGGGCCCACCACCTTTTTTTTCCTGCTCGGAGCGCGCTCTACACTGCCCGAGTCGCGCTCCCCTCTCACGGCCCCGTCGCGCTGCCCTTTCGACCCTGTCGCGCCGCCTTAGCGGCCCCGTCGCGTTGCGCTTGCGGCCCCGTCGCGTCGCCCTCGCGGCCCCTTCACGTCGCGCCGCCCTAGCGGCCGCGTCGCGCCGCCCTCGCGGCCCCGATCCGCCGCCCTCGCGGCTCCGTCGCGTCGCGCCGCCCTCGCGGCCTCTTCAAGCCGCCCTCGCGACCCCCCCCCTCCTAGCCGCCCTAGCGGCCCCGTCGCCTACCCTTGCGACCCCGGCGCCGCCCTTCCCTGCCTCGGCGCCGCCTCTGCTGGACTCGTCGCCTACCCCTGCGGCCCCGGCGCTGCCATTCCCGGCCCCGGAGCCGCCTCTACTGGCCCCGACGCCGCTCCACCCGGCCCCAGCTGTCAAACATTATATATGTTGTGTTAGTGTAGGCTACAGTGGGTTAGCCTATAGGGGGTATACAATTCTAGGGCTAGGTACTTGTACTCATTTCACTGCTAGTTCATCCATTCCTGTTCAGTGATTCCAACATGGTATAGAGCAGGTCCTTCCTAGGACCGAAATTTTCTAAGGGCCCACCACTACGTAACTACCTACCTACATACCTACCTATGCCCTAGGGCGCCTCGGCGTGTCACGCCCCTAGAGGCCCCTCTTGACGGCCCCGCGCTAGCCCCGTTCAGGCCCCGTCGGCCCCACGCCCGCTCTCCCTAGCGGCCCCGTTCAAGCCCCGTCGGCCCCTCTAAGGCCCCGTTCAGGCCCCGCACTAGCCCCGTTCAGGCCCCGTCGGCCCCGTTTCAGGCCCCATCGGCACGCGCTAGCCCCGTTTCAGGCCCCGTCGGCCCCGTTTCAGGACCCGTAGGCCCCGCGCTAGCCCCTCTCAGGACCCGTTGGCCCGCGCTAGCCCCGTTTCAGGCCCCGTTGGCCCCGTTTCAGGCCCTGTCGGCCCCGCGCTAGCCCCTCTCAGGCCCCGTCGGCCCGCGCTAGCCCCGTTTCAGGCCCCGTCGGCCCCGCGCTAGCCCCTCTCAGGCCCCGTCGGCCCCGCGCTAGCCCCATTCAGGCCTTGATCGGGCCCGCGCTAGCCCCGTTTCAGGCCCCGTCGGCCCCGCGCTAGCCCCGTTCAGGCCCCGTCGGCCCCTTGCTAGCCCCGTCAAGGCCCTGTTTGGCCCCGCGCTAGCCCCGCTCAGGCCCCGATTGGCCCCGCGCTCGCCCCTCTAGGGCCCCAACCGGCCCCGTGCCGACCTCGCCGACCCGTGCCCACCACCTAGAGGCCCCGTGCGGCCCGTTCCCGCCGCAGCACACGAGGGAGAGCGGGCGGCCCGTCCCCGCCGTGACCCGAACCGCGCGACCCGAGCCGCGCGCCCCGAGCCGAGCCGCGCGCCCCGAGCCGAGCCGCGCGCCCTGAATTGAGCCGCGCCACCCAGCCGAGCCGCGACCCGACCTGAACCGAGCCGCGCCGCCCTGCCCTACCTGGTTCGTCCTACCTGCTTCTCCTACTGCTACTGCTGCTATTTCTACTGTTCCTATGGCTAGCCCACAGGTTCTCGTGTTCGATGCTGAGGGCCGCCCTGTGAAGTTTGACACCTGGCTCGATGACCTGCACCTCTACCTACAGCTCACAGCCAAGGATGACATCTCACTGTACGATCACGCCCTAGGCCATGTCACTGCCCCTGCTGCTACTGCTGACAGCACTGCTCGCTCACAGTGGCAGACTCGTGATGCCCACGCTCGCTTCGCCATTCGCAACTCCCTGCCGATAGACGAACGCGAGCACTTTGGTCAGCACAAGACTGCACAGGCACTGTACACAGCTGTAGTTGCTCGCTACTCCTCACCTGCCTCTGCCGCACTAGGCCGTCTCTCCCTCCCCTACCTGTTTCCCGACCTGGCCTCCTTTCACACAGTCGCTGACCTCATCACGCACCTCCGTACTAGTGAGGCCCGCTTCCGTGCCGCCATGCCTGCTGAGTTCCTTGCCACGCACCCCCCTCCACTCTGGCTCACTCTCTACCACCTAGTCACCCGCCTCCTTGACACACTGCGTGCTGTCAGGGACCACTTCCTAGCTCGTTGCCCCACTGAGCTCACCATTGCCCTCCTCGAGAAGGAGCTACTTGCAGCTGAGACTAGCATAGTCGCTGTAGGTGCCTCTCGTGGCGACCCCCGTACCCCGTTCTTTGAGGGGTGTTCTCCTTCCCCCCTTCTTCCCTCTGTCGCCTCTGCTGCTGCTGTCGACCTTCTTGGTACTGAGAAGGTCGGTGCTCCGCCTGCCTCGAGCGGACGCCGCAGCGGCAAGGGCAAAGGGGGCAAGGGTGGTGGCGGTGTTGGCGGGGGAGGCGGCGGTGGGGGCGGTGGAGGCAGTGGGGGTGGTGGCTCGGCTGGAGGGGCGAGTGGTAGCGGTGGGGGTGGTGGCGGCAGCGGCGGGGGAGGTGGCAGGAGTGGAGGCGGCGGTTGGGGTGGCGGTGGACGAGGCGGCGGCAGGGGTTGGGGTGGTCGAGGAGGTGGCAGCGGTGGTGGTGGCCGTGGAGGCACTGGCGGTGGCCAGGGCCAGCAGCACACTCCCTCGCCCCAGGAGGTCCGTGAGTGGTACTCTCAGCACGGGGGTGGGGGTGGTCTCAGCTGCACGTACGTCATTCGCACTGGTGACCGCACTGGTCAGTAGTGTGGACGACCGCACGCCACACAGCGCTGCTTCTCTCGTCTCGACGACGCTTGGCGTGTTCAGTTCCCTCAGGCCACTGAGCTGCCCCGCTGGCTTGATCTCCTGAAGAAGGGGATTGATATCTATGCTCTAGACTTTGATGCTATTCTATCTGCCATGTATGTGATGTCTACTAGTGGAGAGGGTGCTGAGTACTTGTGTGTGCCGCCCGACCCGGGCATTAGGGCCAGTGCGTCTGCCGCTCCAGGTGCTCGCGTGTCGGCTACCCCAGGTGCTGGTGAGGCTGCTGCTCTAGGTGCTCGTGTGTCTCCCCCCCTTGGTACTGCGTCGACTGCCGCACTGCACACCTTCACACTGGACTCAGGTGCTTCTCGCTGCTTCTTTCGTGACCGCACTGCCCTTGAGCCGCTTGCTGGGCCAGTTGCTGTCTCCCTTGCTGACCCCTCTTGGGGTTCGGTCATTGCGACCACTTCCACTGTCCTTCCGTGCCCTGCGGTCCCGTCGGGCACACTGTCAGGTCTCCACCTCCCCTCGTTCTCTACGAACTTGGTGGCAGGATGTGCACTCCAGGACGGGGGTGTTCACCAGTTCACCCCTGCCTACGAGCGCGTGACACACTTCACGTGTGCTCGTACGGGCCGTCACTTGGCTACCTTCACTCGGCAGCCAGGGTCGGACCTGTACACACTGACTACTTAGTCCCCTCGGGTTGCTGCGACTGCGTCCGCGTCCGCGTCAGGTCAGCTGTCCGCCCCCTGCTCGTGTCGCTCTTTGGCACACGAGACTGTCCTCTGGTACCACCGCCTTGGCCACCCGTCTGTGCAGCGGCTTCGTGCCATGCACTCCCGGTACCTTGTCTCTGGCCTGCCCAGGGTCCTTCCTGCCCTCCCACCCTCGCCTGCTCCTACCTGTTTCCCCTGTGTCGAGGGACGGCAGCGCGCCGCTCCTCACACCTCTTCGTTCCCCCCGACGACTGCTCCCTTGCAGACACTCCACATGGACGTGTGGGGCCCAGCCCGCGTCCGTGGTCAGGGTCAGGAGAGGTACTTCCTGATAGTTGTTGACGACTACTCGCGCTACACCTCGGTCTTCCCCTTGCGCACCAAGGGTGAGGTCCCTGATGTCTTGATCCCTTGGATCCGCAGAGCCCGTCTCTAGCTCAGCGAGCGTTTTCACTCGGACTTTCCTGTCCTGCGCTTGCACTTTGACAGAGAAGGTGAGTTCTCCTCCGACCTCTTGGCAGCTTACTGTGCTGAGCACAGCTTTGAGCAGTCGTTCACGCTTCCGGCTTCTCCACAGCAGAATGGGGTTGCGGAGCGCCGCATTGGCCTGGTCATGGAGGTCGCCCGTACCTCCTTGATCCATGCGGCTGCCCCCCACTTTCTGTGGCCGTTTGCGGTCCAGTACGCTGCGCATCAGCTCAACCTCTGGCCCCGTGTCTCCTTGCCGGAGACCTCGCCCACGCTGCTGTGGACGGGGGAGGTTGGCGATGCGTCGCGTTTCCGGATCTGGGGGTCTCGAGCTTTTGTCCGCGATTCGTCTGCGTCTTCCTCGGCTTTCTCCCGTTCGGGAGCTCCCCTCCCGCGAGCGGATCCGTGAGTGGTACGAGCGGCGCTGCACTCTTCGGAGTGGCGTGCCTCGTGTTATGGACCCCGCTGCTGTTGGAGCTGCTGCTGATGCTGAGGACCCGGGCGTTGGAGCTGCTGCTGGTGCTGAGGACCCGGGCGTTGGAGCTGCTTCTGGTGCTGAGGACCCGGGCGTTGGAGCCGCTGCTGGTTCTGAGGACCCGGGCGTTGGAGCTGCTGCTGGTGCTGAGGACCCAGGCGTTGGAGCTGCCGCTGGTGCTGCGGACCCGGGCGTTGGAGCTACTACTTGTGCTGAGGACCCGGGTGTTGGAGCTGCCGCTGGTGCTGAGGACGTGGGCGCTGGAGCTGCTGCTGGTGCTGCGGACCCTGGTGCGGGTGTCCCTGCTGGCTCTGGTGTCGCTGCTCGGTCTCGGCCGTACTTTGTTCCGCTCCTTCAGCAGGTTCTTGGTCAGCTTCCTCCTCCTTTTCCTCCTCCCTCCTTAGCGTGTCCTCCGCCTGTCCAGCTGCAGTCGGCGTTACCGTCTGCCTCCTCTCTCCCTGGTCCTGCTCCTTACACTGGTCCGACTGGAGGTCTTACTGAGCAGCGTGATCCTGCGTCTCGTCCTGCGTCGCCTGAGTCTCGTCCTGAGTCGCCTGTCCGCACTGCTCTCTCTAGTAGTCGAGTCCAGCGTCAGCGTCTTCCTACTGTCCCAGGCACTCACCGGATGGCGCTTCGTCCGTCCACTGCTCCACAGCGTGTCCCACTTCCGTCTCCTCCTGCTTCCTCTCTTCCTGCTCTTACTGACCCTGGGTCAGACTCTCTTCGTGCTACCAGTCCTACTATCACGCGTCTCCTGGCTACTGTTGTCACTGACCCTTCCTTTGAGTCTGCTGCTGCGTCTGCCTTAGTTGCTGAGCTTGTCGACTTTGCTGCTCGCTGTCGTCTAGACTACGCTGCTAGCCTAGTTGCTGAGTCTGAGTCTGTCTGTCCTCCGTCCGTCGGGGGTGAGTGTGCTCTTGGCACTGACGTCCTTGAGGACAGGCAGGAGGAGTTTGAGTGCTTTGCTGCCGCTTTGCCCCATCTCGTGTCCATGCTTGTTGCCCCTGAGGGAGACCCGGATGCACCAGACATCCCGACCCCACGCTCTTACGCAGAGGCGATGGCCGGTCCCTACTCCTCTCAGTGGCAGTCAGCCATGGACACAGAGATGGCTTCCTGGAAGTCCACAGGCACCTACGTCGACGAGGTTCCCCCACCTGGGGCGAACATCGTCAGTGGCATGTGGATTTTCAGGGTGAAGCGGCCGCCGGGCTCTCCGCCTGTCTTCAAGGCGCGTTACGTTGCACGAGGCTTCAGTCAGCGAGAGGGAGTTGACTTCTTCCAGACCTTCTCCCCGACCCCGAAGATGACCACTCTTCGGGTTCTGCTGCACGTCGCCGCTCAGCGTGACTACGAGCTCCACTCGCTTGACTTCAGCATTGCTTTCCTGCAGGGCAGCCTGCACGAGGAGATCTGGCTGCGCCGTCCACCTGGCTTCACTGGGTCGTTCCCTCCTGGTACCCAGTGGAGCCTCCGACAGCCAGTCTACGATCTCCGCCAGGCACCTCGTGAGTGGGACGACACACTGAGGACTACGCTTGCGGCTCTTGGGTTCGCGCCTTCTACTGCTGACCCGTCGCTGTTTCTACGCACCGACACCTCACTGCCGCCGTTCTACGTCCTTGTGTACGTCGACGACTTGGTCTTTGCTACTGCTGACACTGTGGCACTCGCCCACGTGAAGTCGGAGCTGCAGAAGAGACACACGTGCACAGACCTGGGTGAACTGACAAGCTATCTTGGCTTGCGGATCACCCGGGACAGAGCACGCCGCACCATCACCTTGACTTAGTCACACATGGTGCAGCAGGTCCTTCAGCGCTTCCGCTTTACGTACTCCTCGCCTCAGCCCACTCCTCTGCCTACCGGTCACTCGCTCTCAGCTCTGCCTTCGGATGAGTCCGTAGAGCCGAGTGGCCCGTATCCAGAGCTTGTGGGTTGCCTCATGTACTTGATGACCTGCACTCGACCAGACCTTGCATACCCTCTCAGCATTCTTGCACGCTATGTCGCTCCCGGCCGTCAACGGAAGGAGCACATGGATGCACCTAAGAGGGTGTTGCGCTACTTGTGCAGTACGTCGGGCATGGGGCTAGTGCTTGGAGGGCGAGTCCTAGTTGTTCTCACTGGGCACTCACACGCTTCTTGGGCAGACGACCAGGCTACTCAGCGGTCGTCTCAGGGTTACTCCTTCAGTCTTGGCTCTGGTTCTGTTTCTTGGCGTTCTACTCGCTCTTCTTCTGTTCTCAGCTCCAGTTGTGAGGCTGAGATCTACGCCACAGCCATGGCGGCCCAGGAGCTACGCTGGCTCACTTACTTGCTGACCGACCTTGGAGAGCAGCCTCGTTCTCCTCCAGTGCTGTACGTCGACAACAAGGCAGCCATTGCCTTGTGTGAGGAGCACAGACTGGAGCACAGAACGAAGCACATTGCTCTGCGTTACTTCCTTGCTCGAGAGCTGCAGCAGCGTGGTCAGCTTCGCCTGCGTTACGTGGCCTCTGAGGCCAACACTGCTGATGTGTTCACCAAGGCACTTCAGCCTTGTGACCATCAGCGCTTTTGCACTCTTCTAGGCCTTGTGCCTACTGGACCTCACTTGCTTACTTCTTGAGTCTGTTTGTACTGTGATCTCTATATATATACCTGCATGTTTACTCTTGTTAGGTTGTGATCATTGTACCTTTTGCTCTATTATAAACGTGCATGTGAACTGGTCTTGTGACCACTTGCTTGTGCTCGGAATTTGTGTGGTATCCTTGAGATCCACCCTGAGCTTGTTTTGCCTTGCTTTGCCTTGACTAGTCTTGTGACCCCTAGTTCTCCCCCACTTTGCCTATGGGGGTGTGTCAAACATTATATATGTTGTGTTAGTTTAGGCTACAGTGGGTTAGCCTATAGGGTGTACACAATTCTAGGGTTAGGCACTTGTACTCATTTCACTGCTAGTTCATCCATTCCTGTTCAATGATTCCAACACCGCCGCCGTCCCCACGCGGCCCCGCCGTCACCACCGAGCCGCCGGCGCCGTCAAGCTGCTGCCGAGCCGCCCGATCCACCCGAGCCGCCCGAGCCGCCGCGCCACCTGAGCCGCCCCAGGCGCCGGGTAGCCGAGCCGCCGAGCTGCAGTTGCTGCCGAGCCGCCGTACCGCCGAGCCGCCCGAGCCGCCCGAGCCGCCGAGTCGCAGAGCCGCAGTTGCTGCCGAGCCGCCGTACCACCGAGCCGCCCGAGCCGCTGAGTTGCCGAGCCGCCGAGCCACCCGAGCCGCCCGAGCCGCCCTGTCCGGTAAGAGCAGCGCCTCTGTCACTGCACTGCCCTTACCCTACTGTTCGCGCTGCTAGTCTACTGCTGTCATGGCTACCCCTAGTGTCCTCGCTTTTGACGCTGAGGGTCGGGCCATTGACTTTGACGTCCGGGTAGATGACCTGCAGCTTTTCCTACAGTGCGATAGGGCAGACAGTCTCTCCCTCTTTGACTTCACCTCTGGTGCCTCTCCTGCCCTTGCTGCTGATGCTGACGCCACTGTTTGCTCACAGTGGGCCACATGTGATGCTGCTGCACGTCTTACTGTGCGTCGCCACCTGCCTACCTCTGAGCGTGCGCACATTAGCCAGTACAAGAGTGCGCAGACCTTGTGCGACGCTGTAGTTGCACGCTACTCCTCCCCTGCCACTGCTGCACTAAGCCGCCTCATGCTACCGTACCTCTTCCCTGACCTTCCTGCCTTTCCCACAGTCGCTGACCTCATTACGCACCTCCGCACTAGTGACACTCGCTACCGCGCTGCGCTTCCTGCTGACTTCTGCGCCAAGAACCCCCCCCCCATGTACATCACCCTCTACTACATAGTCACCTGGCTCCCTGACTCCCTTCGCGTAATAAGGGACCACTTCCTCTCAGGTTGCCCCACCACTCTCACCGTTGACCTCCTCGAGAAAGCCCTCCTAGTAGCAGAGAAGAGCATAGTCGCTGTAGGAGCCTCTCGTGGTGACCCTCGCACCCCCGTCTTTGAGGGGTGTTCCCCCTCCCCCCTTTTGCCCTCTGTTGCCTCTGCTGCTGCGGCCGACCTCGTTGGTTTCGAGTCGGTCGGCGCTGCGTCTGCCCCGAGCGGGAGACGCCGCACCGGCAAGGGCAAGGGGGGCAAGGGTGCTGGAGGGGCTGGCGGGGGTGGCGGAGGTGGCGGTGGAGGCAAAGGAGGGGGTGGGCGTGGTGGTGGGAGTGGTGGCGGGGGTGGAGGTATTGGTGGCGGCAGTGGAGGCGGAGGCGGCGGCGGCGGTGGCGGTGGGAGCGGAGGTGGCGGAGGTGGCGGCGGTGGAGGAGGCGGCAGCGGAGGAGGTGGAGCTGGTCGGGGTGGCGCTGCGCAGAGGGTCGGCTCCGGTGGTGGTCAGCGCCAGCAGCAGCAGCAGGAGCAGCGCACTTGTGACATCCCCCCCCCTCAGCAGCTCCGTGAGTGGTACGCTGCACGCCAGCGGGGTGGGGGTACTTGTCCGTGCACCTACGTCCTACGCACCGGCGACTGCGAGGGTGAGCAGTGCGGGGATGCGCACGCCACCCAGCGCTGCTTTGGCCATCTGACGAACGCTTGGCGCCACCAGTTCCCTGAGGCCACTAAGATCCCTCGCTGGGGCGAGCTGTCTAGGGCGGGAGTAGCTATCTTTGACCTTGACTTTGATGCTATTCTTGCTGCCATGTATGCTGTGCCTATTAGTGATGAGGGTGACTGTTACCGGTGTTTTCCGCCCGACCCGGGCATTGAGACTGCTGCTCTAGGTACTGGTGAGGCTGATGCTCTAGGTGCTAGCGAGGCTGTTGCTCTAGGTGCCAGTGCGTCTACTTCCTCAGGTGCTGGTGAGTCTGCTCTCTTAGGTACCGCGTCGGCTTCGGCCTCCCACACCTTCACCCTTGACTCAGGGGCTTCTCGCTCCTTCTTTCGAGAACGCACCACACTCACGCCTCTTGGTCGGCCAGTTGCAGTCTCTCTGGCAGACCCCTCTGGGGGTCCTGTCCTTGCTCACTTCTCCACGGTCCTCCCGTGTCCAGCGGCCCCCTCTTGCACCCTGTCTGGTCTTTACCTCCCCTCGTTCTCTACAAACTTGGTGAGTGGTGCTGACCTACAGGATGCGGGGGTTCACCAGTTCACTCCTGCGAGTCAGCGGGTGACCCACTGCACGGACGCTCGGACAGGCCGACACCTGGCCACGTTTACACGTCGGCCGGGGTCGAGCCTGTACACACTGACCACTGAGTCTCCTCCAGTCACTGCGTCTGGTCAGGTAGCTGCGTCGGGTCAGGTGTTTGCTGCAGCGTCCAGGTCTGGTCCTGAGTCTGCCCCCTGCTCGTGTCGCCTCCTGTCTCACGAGACTCTCCTCTGGCACCACCGCCTTGGTCACCCATCCCTACATCGTCTCCGAGGCATGGCCTCTCGTTTCCTTGTCTCTGGACTTCCCCGGTCCCTCCCTCCCCTTACTCCGGGGCCTGCCTCTGCCTGCGTCCCTTGTGTCGAGGGGCGGCAGCGGGCTGCCCCTCACTCCTCCTAGTTTCCTTCGAGAGAAGCCCCGCTGCAGACGCTTCACATGGACGTGTGGGGCCTGGCCCGCGTCCGTGGACAGGGTCACGAGCGCTACTTCCTGCTGGTGGTTGACGACTACTCGCGTTACACCACAGACTTCCCCTTGCGCAGCAAGGGTGATGTCACTAAGGTGTTGATCGACTGGATCCGCGCAGCTCGTCTTTAGCTCAGGCAGAGCTTCGACTCGGACTTTCCTGTTCTACGTCTGCACTCTAACAGAGGCGGAAAGTTCTCCTCTAGCCTTTTGCGAGCCTACTGTCGTGCACGAGGCATCCACCAGACCTTCACGCTTCCGGACTCTCCACAGCAAAATGGGATTGCTGAGCGCCGCATTGGCATGGTCATGGACGTCGCCCGTACGTCCATGATGCATGCGGCTGCCCCCCATTTTCTGTGGCCGTTTGCGGTTAGGTACGCGGCGCATCAGATCAACCTTCAGCCCAGGGTCTCCTTGCCGGAGACCTCCCCAGCCTTGCTGTGGACGGGGAAGGTTGGCGATGCGTCTGCGTTCCGTGTCTGGGGATCTCGGGCGTTTGTCCGCGACTTGTCTGCGGACAAGCTGTCCCCTCGTGCTGCTCCTCGCGTCTTCCTTGGCTTCCCCCCTGACGCGCCAGGGTGGCAGTTCTACCACCCCACCTCTCGCCGTGTTCTGTCCTCCCAGGACGTCACGTTTGACGAGTCGGTCCCCTACTACCGCCTCTTCCCCTACCGCACTCCTTCCCTCCCCCCGCCACCGCTCTTCCTTGTGCCAGGTCCCCCCCCGGTAGACCCCCTCCCCCCTCAGGGTCGTGCCCCTTCAGGTGTGTCCGAGGTAGACGCAGTCGAACCTGTCGAGGTTACTGGTGACTCTGGTGCTGCTGGGGTTGCTGAGCCTGGGGGTGCTGACTCTGGGGGTGCTGAGCGTGTGGGGGCTACACCTGGGGGTGCTGAGCCTGCGGGTGCTACTACTTGGGGTGCTGAGCCTGGGGGTGCTGAGCCTTGGGGTGCTACTCCTGGGGGTGCTGAGCCTGGGGGTGCTTTGACTGGGGGTGCTGAGCCTGGGGGTGCTGAGCCTGGGGGTGCTACGACTGGGGGTGCTGAGCCTGGGGGTGCTACGCCTGGAGGTGCTGAGCCTGGGGGTGCGGAGCCTGAGGGAGCTGGGCCTGCTCGTGTCGCGTCTGGCGGTACTGTGCCTGGAGGTTCTCCGGGTGCCTCGTCTCGGCGGGAGCCTCTCTCTCCACACGAGCTGCGCAAGTGGTTTGCCCGGTGCTGGAGGCGTGTTGCTGGAGCTGGAGGTTCTTCGGCTGCTGAGGGTGCTGGTGTCGCGGGTCCCTGAGGTGCTCGTACTGGGAGTACTGGAGCTGCTGGACCTGCGGGTACGACTGGAGCTGGAGCTGCTGAGGGTGTTGGCGCTAAGGCCACTGCTGTCGGTCCTGGAGGCGGTCCTGTTGGGGGTGCTACTGGTGCTGCTGGAGGTATTGGAGCTGGAGGTGCTGCTGGCGCTGGTGCTACCACTGGGGGTACTGGTGCTGTCCCAGCTGTGTCTGGAGTCGCCGCGCGGCCCCGGCCGTACTTTGTTCCGCTCCTTCAGCTGGTTCTTGGTCTCTCGCTTTCTACTGGTCCTCCTCCTCCCTTAGAGTGTCCACAGCCTATCCCGTCACAGTTACAGTTACAGCCGGCCTCCCCACTGCCTGCTCCTTCTCCCTACACTGGTCCTACTGGAGGTCTTGCTGAGCGTCGTGAGCCTGCGTCTCGCCCTGCGTCGCCTGTCCGTGCTGCTCGCACTAGTGGTCGTGGTTCGCGTCAGCGTCCTCCTCCTGTCCCTGGCACGCACCGGATGTCTCTGCGCCCGTCCACTGCTCCTCTGCGTGCCCCTTTGCCTTCTCCTCCTGAGTCCTCTCTTCCTGCTCTTGCCGACCCGGAGTCGGACTCTCTTCGTGCTGCCAGTCCTACTGTCACGCGTCTCCTTGCTACTGTCGTCACTGACCCTTCCTTTGAGTCCACTGCTGCGTCTGCCCTAGTTGCTGAGCTCGTCGACTTTGTTGCTCGCTGTCGTCTAGACTACGCTGCTAGACTTGTCGCTGAGTCTGAGTCTGTCTGTCCTCCGTCCGTCAGGGATGAGTGTGCCCTTGGCACGGACGTCCTTGAGGACAGGCAGGAGGAGTTCCAGTGTCTGGCAGCTGCTTCACCTCATCTCGTGTTTGTACTGCTTACCCCTGAGGGAGACCCGGATGCACTTGACATCTCGACTCCGCGCTCTTACGCGGAGGCGATAGAGGGTCCCTACTCCTCTCAGTGGCAGGCAGCTATGGACGCAGAGATGGCTTCCTGGAAGTCCACAGGCACCTACGTTGACGAGGTTCCCCCGCCTGTGGCGAACATCGTCAGTGGCATGTGGATTTTCAGGGTGAAGCGGCCGCCGGGTTCTCCGCCTGTCTTCAAGGCGCGTTACGTGGCTCGTGGCTTCAGTCAGCGGCAGGTAGTTGACTACTTTCAGACCTTCTCTCCCACCCCGGAGATGACCACTCTTCGGGTACTGCTGCACATAGCTGCTCACCGCGACTACAAGCTGCACTCTCTTGACTTCAGCACTGCTTTCTTACAGGGCAGCGTGCACGAGGAGATCCGGCTGCGTCGCCCACCTGGCTTCACTGAGTCTTTTCCTCCTGGCGCCCAGTGGAGCCTCCGGTGGCCACTCTACGGTGTGAGAGGACGTCCCCGCTATAATATTTTCTCACTATTATATTTTTCCGTTATCATATTCTCCCTTTTCTCCTCTTTATTTTGGTCTTTATCTCATCTCAATCGGCCTACTATTCTATTTTCTAGAGCCTTCTATTTATTTCTCTTATTTCCTACCCTTCCCACTGACATACCTATTATACGGCACCGATAGCGCCGACAGTGGTGTATACAGTGTAATCTGGGCGTAATCCCAAGTGCCAATAGCCTTGCGTGCTTGTGCGCACTTGTGATTGTAGTATCGGGAAGGGCGTGTTCCCGAAGGTTCATTTTATCTCGTTTATCCTTGTATTTTCCGAGTATAAAAATGCCTTGTATTCAGTTTTAGTGACAAGTTTCGATTGAGAATTCGATCCTGTGACACTTGGTAATTAGAGCCGTTCTCACTCGACGACTCTCGGCTAAGCAGCGGTCGCGGAAGAAATCGCTTCGAAAAACCGCCGGGGGCGACCAATTCGACGCCGATTTCTGGTAAGCACCAGTTCCGCGCTTTTCGAATTAACCCCCTCGCGTGGTTTCTGAACAGGTGGGGTTCGCCGGCGACCAACGACGTTACGCCGCAGCTCTTCGCGCAAATCGCCAAGATGGAAGCGGAGATGCGAGCGACGACTGAACATTTGCGATTGGAGAACGAGCAGCTGCGAAACGAACCGCAGAGCGTTACGCAGCTCCTCTCGACCATGAACATTCCTGCTTCGACGACTTCACAGCAGTCGCAGCGTTAGTTCGAGGTTCCGAAACTTCGCTCGCCGGAATCGTTCGACCCTAGCGATCGAAAATCCGACGTCAGGCGGTGGCTCACGACGATGGAAATTTATTTCGCGGCGATCGGATAGTCGACGACGGAGTACGACGGCGAGAAAATTTGTGGCTCGACGACGATGAAAATTTATTTCGCGACAACGTTGATGCGCGGTCCAGCTCTCGAGTGGCTCGGAAGCAACAGTAGCATTTTCCAGGGCGAAGCCACGTGGCAGCAGTTCCTGTGAAAATTGAAACGAGAATGATTCAACTATGAAAGAGTTGGGTACAAGTACTAACCCTAATTGGGTTGTACCCCATGTGGGCTACCCCACTACAGCCTACACAAATGTATAAGCTATATGTTCTGACACACCCCCATAGGTAAAGTGGAGAGAACAAGGGGTCACAAGACCAGTCAAGCAAAGCAAAGCAAAGCAAGCCCAGGGTGGATCACAAAGTCACCACACATTCCGAGCACAAGTTCAAAGCCATAAGGCCAGTTCACATGCAGGATTACATATATATATCAGGCTACACAAGCAAGAGCAGGTATATATATATGTAACAGTACAAGCGAGGTCAAGGGGTGAGCAACTGAGGCAAGACAGGGACAAGACCCAGCTGAGTGCAGAAGCGCTGATGATCACAAGGCGGAAGTGCCTTGGTGAAAACATCAGCAGTGTTGGCCTCAGAGGCCAGGTACGCAAGCCGCAACTGACCACGCTGCTGTAGCTCACGAGCAAGGAAGTAGCGGAGAGCAATGTGCTTTGTTCTGTGCTCCAATCTCTGCTCTCGACACAAGGCCAGCATGGCCTTGTTGTCTACGTATAGGACTGGAAGAGAACGAGGCGGCTCTCCAAGGTCGGTCAGCAAGTAGGTGAGCCAGCGAAGCTCCTGTGCAGCCATGGCCCCGGCGTAGATCTCAGCCTCACAACTGGAGCCGAGAACAGAAGACGCGCGAGTAGCCCGCCACGAAACAGAGCCGGAACCAAGGCTGAAGGTGTAACCCTGGGACGACCGCTGCGTAGCCTGGTCGTCAGCCCAAGAAGCGTCTGCGTGCCCAGTGAGGACCACTGGTCTCCGCCCTTCAAGCACTAGCCCCATGCCCGACGTACTGCACAAGTAGCGCAACACCCTCTTCGCTGTAGCCATGTGCTCTGGTCGGTGTCTCCCAGGAGCAACATAGCGTGCAAGAATGCTAAGAGGGTATGCAAGGTCAGGTCGTGTGCAAGTCATCAGGTACATGAGGCAGCCAACAAGCTATGGATACGGGCCACTCGACTCTACCGACTCATCCGAAGGCAGAGCTGAGAGTGAGTGGCGAGTAGGCAGAGGAGTGGCCTGAGGCGAGGAGTACTTGAAGCCGAAGCGCTGAAGGACCTGCTGCACCATGTGTGACTGAGTCAGGGTAATGGTGCGGCGTGCTCTGTCCCGGGTGATCTGCAAGCCAAGGTAGCTGCGCAGTTCACCCAGGTCAGTGCACGTGTGTCTCTTCTGCAGCTC